GGGGGTTGAAAGAGGGAGCGAGAGAGCGTCAGCAATAGAATCAATCAGCGCGCACCACCTTCAATACTTGACTTTGGCCTTGACTTCTTCGGCGAGGCCGCCCCACTTGAGCCTATAGACCCGCGAGCGCCACTGTATGAGGGGGTCCAGGACCGCCTGGACAAAGAGGTACGGCCTCGTCGTCTCGCAGAGTAGCCAGCCGATGACGAATTCGAGGAAGTTGAAGGGCAGGGGCCCGTTTTGCACGACGCAGAGAAGCGTCCAGTCAAAGGTGAACCACAGGAGGACGTGCGCGAGGTAAAAGACGAGCGTATCCCAATCGAGGAGTAGATTCGCCGCCCAGGAGGCGCACGCACCGAGGATGAGGCACTCGCTCAGGGGCTCCAGGACTATCGTCGTCGGTAGCATGGCTACGCGAAGTTTGGCCCAGCGCTTGAGCCGCGCCTGGAACGAATAAACCTCGCAGTGCCCGCTATTCTGCATTGCCGGCTGGGAGCAGACGGTTATCCTCCAGTTCCGGTCCATCAGAGACTTGGCGTAGAAGAAATCCTCGGCGAGGTAAGCGCCGAAGGTCTTGAGGCCACCGACCTCCTCGAGGAGAGCCTTCTTTATGAGGGCGGACATGCCCGTATGGCAATTAATTCTGAGGAGGTCGGCCACGAGATACATGCGGGACTGCACGGTGCCGAAGTAGATTTTCTCATAAGCGGCGGCGAAGCCCTCGCGGTCGCATGTGAAGGGCATCTGGTGGACAAGGCCGACCCGCTCGGTCATATAGTTCACCATGTCGAGTAGCGTGTCCTCGCGCATGCGGATGCCGCTGTCGCTAATGAGGATGAGCTCGTGCCGCGATGCTTCGTAAGCGGGCTGCATATTGTTTATCTTAGGGTTGACGCCGACGCCGCGACCGCCGATGAAGAGCTTCGCTTCGACGGCCGGATACTTTTCCACGAGCTTGTGGACAAGCACGAGCACCGGGTCTTGCTCGTCCTCGATGCAGAACAGGAGCTCGTACACGGGGTAATCGAGCTGGAAGAAAGTCTCGAGGTTGCTGTGGAGGTTTGGATCAACCCCCATGAGGGGTTTGATTATCGAGACACCGGGTAGGGGCGTTTCGTAAGTCGGCACCTGGCTCAGCTTGCGGTGTAGTTTCCAGCGGCCGGCGATCAACGCGAGCACATGGAATATCCACATAACTGACCAGATCACCATAAACGTCACCGCGAACCCATACAGGGTGTACACCATCAAGTTCATCTTATTCCAAGGGCTTGTTGGCCTTGAGCCGTCGCCGTCGCCGTCGCCGTCGCCGTCGCCGTCGCCGTCGACGTCGTTGTGGTAGTAGTGATCGTCGTGGTGGTGGTCGTTGTCGTCGTCGTGGTGGTCGTTTTCGCCGTCGGCGACGTCGTATTTGTTTTAATCTTCGTCGTTGACTTCTTGAGTGCGGGGATGTCAAGGGTGGCGCGCGTCAAACGACTTTCAGCCGACCAGAGGAAGGCAATCGACTCGTCGTCGTTGTCGTCGTTGTCCTTCTCCTCGTTACCTTTGCCGTTGTCTCTGTTTTCCCTAGGATTTTCTTTAAGGTTATTGTTATGTTCTCCGTTCTGTTGTTGTTGTTGTTGTTGTTGTAGCCGTTGTTGACAATGTTGACGTTGTTGATTCTGTTGACATTGGCGATGGCATTGACGTTGACACTGGCATTGGTATTTGTATTGTTCTTGGTGGCGAGGGCTGTGAAGGTGGTGCTGGCAATGATGGCAGTGGTTGAGGTTGAGGTTGAGTTTGAGGTTAAGGTTGTGGTGGTGGAGATGTTGGTGGTGGTAGTGGTGGTGGTGGTGGTGGTGGTGGTGGTGGTGGTTGTGGTGGTGGTCGTGGCGTTGGCAGTGATCAGTGATGGTGTTCTTCGTCGGCGTATTCGTCGTTATTGCCGTTGCTGCCGTTCCAACCGTTACTGCCTTTGTTGTTGTTGCTCTTGCTGTTGCTCTTGCTATTGCTGTTGAAGTTGATGTTGCTGTCGTCGTCGTTATCGTCGTTGTCGCCACCGCCGTTGTTGCCGTCGTCGTCGCCGCCGCCGCCGTTGTCTTCGTCTTCGTCTTCTTCTTCGTCTTCGTCGTCGTCGTCGTCGTCGTCGTCGTCGTCGTCAAACTCGTCCTCGTCGTTGTTGTTGGCGTCGTCGTGGTCGCGGTCACGGTCGCGATAGAGGTAGCGGTCCCGGTTGGGGTCGGGGTCGGGGTCGCGGTCGCGGTCGGGGTCGTGCTCGTGGTCGTGGTCACGGTCGCGGTCCCGGTTCTGGTCCTGATCGTCAACCCTGGAGCCGGCAAGCCGAGCATCCTTACCGTGGGTCCGAGGGCCGGCCGCAGCTCGATCATGCCCGCGACCTCCTCGTCGTCGCAGTGGCCGCCTTCCAGTCAGAATCATCGAAGGCCGGCACCCGGGCTCGCGACGCGCGGCCACTGCTCACGGAGCCGACGCACCATCTCCGCTCGTTCGAGGGCGGCCCTGGTCGCAACGACGACGACGACGACGACGGCGCACAGGCAAACGGTAAGGACGCGCGCGCACCCACGCACACCCGCCCGCCGCAGACGCGCACACTCGAGTGGTGGTGGGACTCGGCGGCTCGACCGCGCGCCCGGAAGCGACGGGCCGCTCGACGATTGCGACGTCGCTTCGTCCTGTCCCTTCGGCACGCGGCTCGCGGCTCGCTTCTCGTCCCAACTGCTGCTGCTGCTGCTGCTCCTCCTCCTCCTCCCGTTGGACTCGGGGGCGTCGACGCGCGCCTCCTGCTGCGAGGACGAGAGCGGAGGCGCGAGTGCGAGTGGCCCCGCGAGGATGAGAGAGACGCGATCACCGGCTGCGGCCCACCGAAGCGGCGGACGGTCGATTCGGCACTTATACTTCCGTTACGAGCCGCATTCCATGGAAGCGCGCAAGAACGAGGGACGTGGGACTCGACAGCGGCGGAGTACCGTTGGCGCTGTGACTCGGCGGTAGCCCTCGACTGCGCAGGCCACGTCCATTTCGAGCCGCCGATGACGTCACTATGTCGGCCTCGCGGTATTGGCCGAGCCTACGAGCGTCGCGGCGCGGCGGGGCGGTGGAGTGGGAGGTGTTGGCGAGCGGTCGTTTGGTCGGTCCACCGCGTATGGCGAACGGGGGGAGAGGGAGTCGTTGCTCTTGAACTCGAATTGTGGGATTTAAATGTTATCTTTTTGATTGGAAACGCGCGCGTGTGAGTGTTGTAGCGTTTCCATTAGCTATACGAATATTTTGAGCTTGGAATATTGGATGATTATGAGTTTTTTTTTACTTGTTTTGACTTGTAATGCTAATTGAATGTAAAAAAAAAAAAAAAATAACCTCTTTAAATTTTGGAAATATCCGTTATAAAGTCGCATTCGCGCGTGAAAATAAATTTGAATGCAATGGTCTGTGGATATAATATAAATGGAGCTTGATTATATAATATAAATATTTATATTATTAGCCATTTATGTAAGGCGGTCTCGTCGTGCGATCCTCTTATAATAAAGTCAAAATTGCGGAAAAATTTGTGTAAAGAATGGGAAGATAACAGTCGCATTCCCGCGTTATTTTCACTTGCTTGAACGTGTTAATCGTGAAAAATGTATTTTACTTAGTCCTTTTTTAATTGCCGGGGAAATGCGCGTTACTCTCACTGAAAGAGTAGATTTTTCCAAATTTTTAAAAATCTTATCGCTACATTAAGATCAACATTAAGCTACTTAGTGGCCATAACGATAAAGTCACTTTCTTGACAATTGTTGTAGAGATATGCGTTGGATATTTTAAAATTGAAATAAATGCGCCTTGTCGGAAAATTTTGCTTCTTCGTTAAAATATGGACACCGGCCAAAATTCTTCTCTTACCTGATCCAACCATACGACTCTTCAGATTTTCGTGCATTCGACGAAGTGTTTGTCATGCTCTCCCGTACGTGTCTCGTACGTTAAATTTCTAATCTCGCAATACGTTATGACACTATTATCGTACTAATGCCTGCATATTCTTAATTCAGCTAAATACATCATTTAAAAAAATTTAAAAAAAAAAGAAAAAGAAAACGAAACGCATTAAAGCTATTCACTATAATTACCCTATACAAACATTAATCGCTCTTTGCACAAAATGATCGCTACTTGTTTCCTTCACAAATTTCCTTCCGCGCATTATTTATGTAAGTGAAGTGCACCCTGCGAGCCACAATTTTTCCCAAATTAATTAAAAGACCCGTACGTAATTTTCAACAAAATAGCGACTCTTGGTTTTTCGCGCGTTACAACTATCGACCCCCGCCCCCCACCCCGTCCGACCACTTTCTATTCCATTTCAATAGCAAACTTGCTGCTGCTGCCTCCATTGGCTCGTGGCATTCGCTATGGCCTGACGTCATCGTGATACTTTTTGTATACGTTTGACCGTCCATATCTTATGTAGTAAGGCAAACAGGCCTTTGTTGTTATTACAATCAGCCGTTAATATTGAAAATTTTAATGACGATGCTTCTCAAAATATAAATGTTCCTTTAAGGAAGAATGCTTCGTCGATGCTCTGAAATTGAATGTAGTAAGGTGCAGCAGCGTAATGAAAAAGAATATGTTATGCTTATTGTCTGTGTCTCTGTGTGTATGGGTGTGTTTGCGAGACTATGCGCGCGCGGAACTTACGAGTTCTATTAAAACAAACGACAAATATAAGTTGTTAATAAAAATATTAACTTGTTTTAATACTTGATTTATTGCGTTACTTGTGCTCAATTGATAAAATTAGATTGAAAGTAAATTTCCAATTATATTTTTATAAGCAATGAATTTTTATTTGTCAACACGCTCCAGATGGATTTTCAATAGTTTGGTTAAATATTTAATACTTCGTATTTTTTCGTTTTATAATATAATAAAATAAGTCCACCCGTTCGATATAAATACAAATGCGAATTAACTAATTCGTACAATTTATTGCAATAAATAATATCAAAGGGCTTGTAAGGGATTTTATTTTATTTGCATAAAAATCACGTTATAAAATTCAATATCGATAATCTCAAATCTTATTAAACAAACACGGTCAGAGAGGTCTAAATTAAAATATAACAACACTGGTGAAACAAATTTTTCCATAAAATTTAAATTCCACTTTCGCACGACCAGTTGTTGCACGAATATTTTTAATTATAACATTCGTACAAACAACAGTCGTGACCCCGCGTCAAGGCTTACATCTCAATATTAAAAACGCGATAATAAAAGTCTTTGTCTCGTAGTAATACAAAATTCGTTATGTTGGGTTATAAAATAATTGAAGTTTTTATAGCATATGCGCCGTCCGTTACATTTCTTTCAACAAATTGCCGTTTATTCAACTTGAATTACATATACTTAAACATTTACAATTGTCACAGAAGAAAATGATATCAGACTTTTGGGTGATGGCAAGCGACATTAAAAACCGCATTCTCGGCTTTATCGAGGTGAATTGTGGAAAAACGAAGGGTAAGAAATTCATTCAAAGTACTTTCATGCGATGTTGCCCTCTTATAAATAACATCCAATTACACTTTTCAACGCTCATTTGTTTCTATCTCTCTCTCTCTCTCTCTCTCTCTCTCTCTCTCTCTCTCTCTCTCCCTCTCTCGTGATATTAATGAGGTAGACTATATATACAAACGAGAATCTCCTTTGTGCTTTTATTTTTATATACACATTATGTACTACTCATATGAATTAAATTAAATGGAAAATTTATAATTTAATAAGCATGATGCTATGTTCTAAATTTCTTAAATAGTGGATGTTTGTTCGCCGTTGACGATGCAGCGGATTTTTTATACTCGTAATAAACCGCATCGTCAGCTCCGGATAGAGACGCCATGTTGCCTGCTTTGCGAATCATCTGAAAATATACATTGTGCTGATTAATTAGAACGTAAAACGTCGTACTATAGATAAAAACTATAATAATATTTGTACTAATTGGTATGAAGTTTTTTTTTCAATAGAGGCATTCGTTGCTTTTAATCGATATTATTAATGGATGACCCGTAAGTCTTCCAATTGTTCATGACAATTAATATTCAATCTTTTATTGAGTTATATCGCGTTAAAAATCTCAGCATAACAGAAAGCATTTACGTTTACAGATATGGAAGATTTAATCTTGAAATTTAAGTGATTCGTAGTGCGAAAATGTGACGAATACCCAACCGTCGTTCCCAACCACCCCCAACTGTCCGTTATTTATCATTATTATAACGGCGTCGAGGGGGTGCTGAGGGGTACGAATACCTCCTATATTACGTAGATACTTTTTACTTACCGGACGAGGTCCTTCTCCTGGAATTTTCTCCTCGTCCGCGTCCGTATCGTTCGCCGACAATACTTGCTGCAGCAGCTGTCCTTGTTCGTCTCGTGTTTTGTACATCATATCAGGCTCCTGTAAGATTTAATTTCTCTCTTATTTCTTCGCATTTTTGAAAATGTTTCGAGGTAGTTCGAGGATTACAGTCGAGGTCGAAATTAGAGGAATAAAAGGTATAATGTGGATTAGTCGAGATTTTGAGCGTGGTCAAATGATTCAAACAATTCATCATGGTGAGACGTTTCGTCTGACAAATTATTGAAATTATTTAGTGGTGCTATTTAATATTGACTTTACTTATTTAATAATATATTAATAATATATTTAATAATATAATAATATAATATTCTTAATTATTCATTAAATCGATGGCGAATAAGGCATTGACATAAATTTCACATGACACGATTACATTGGATTCCACTACCCTTGTTTTCTTAAGAATATTTCTTTTACAATTGTTCTCTTGCGTAATTATCTAAATTATAAATTATAAAATACTCACAATTTTAAGATTGAAATGTGCAAGTAATTCTAAAAAAATACCTCATTGTATTCGTATAATAAAATTTAACAAAAATTTAAATCGATGAATCAAAGCGCTTAATAGTGAAATCAATTGTCCAAGTAAGAAGACATAATGTGCATCCGGTTGGCTTATTAATTTAATAAATATTGGTACAGTAATTAGTTACTGACGCAGCATAACGATACTCACATCGCTCATTCCAGCAAGTTTTGTAATTACTTTGTACGCATATCCTTGGTTTACGAGGAAACGCTGTCTCCTTCTAGAATAATTCATTTCCATTGTGTCTTGAGACACTAATGTATAAAAAAATGCATTGTACTCTTCGGCAATCGCCCCTATAAATGAAACATTAATGTTGGTTACTCATGTAAGATATAATAAAGTACTTTAACTCCGTAAGAGGGTGTATAACCTTTCTTAGCTCGAAGAATTCGACCTAATCTCTGTGCCTCTTGTCTTCGTGATCCACCGTGCGAGGAGATCTGAATCAATACATTAGCCTCTGGCAAATCAAAAGACGTATCTGCCACTTTACTTACAAAAATTGTATTAACTTTCATGTTGTATTTGAAATTTTGTAGAATTTGTATTCTTTCGCTCTAGAAGGATTATACGTTCGATTTTAAATATTACAAGAAAAACACGTTATTATATTTTATTTACCTGACTAGTAGGTCCATAAATATAGGGTTTATTCATCTTAATGGCGTAATGCTTCAATGCAAACACATTATCAGAAAAGACGATAGTTTTGTCGCCACGTCGTTCATGATAACGAATCAAGTATTGGCAAGCGCGAAATTTATTCGGATTCATAACATATAAGAGCTAAAAGAAAAAAAAAATTTTAATCTATATTGCACTACACGCATGACAATCAAGTAATCTTAATGAAAAACACATTACCAATTTCCTAGTCATTTTGCAACCTAAGTACTCTCTATAAAATTCCGGTGTCATCGGACACCAAACCTCGGCACACTGGACTCTTGCAATAAATCCCCTTTTCTGTAATTCTAACCAGTTTGCTTCATAAAGTTTCGGACCAATCAGAAAATTAAGATCAGCAATCTTATCATCCTCTCGTAAAAGTGTAGCCGTTAATCCCAGTTTACAATGAGACTGAACTAGCGTTAGAACTCTTCGGAACATCTTTGCAGGAATAGTGTGGACTTCTGTACGGATAAGAAAAAATATTATCTATAAGTAAGGCTAAACTCAATTTATCCGGTTTTCTTCTGTTTGCCAATATTTTTATTTAGAAAAAAATATTGTATTTATAAAGCCACTGTGTTAGAATACATTTGTAATATATTTTCAACAAAGCTTCAAAACTTCTCCGAGTATGATAAAAACAATGAAGAAAAAAATATTAACTTACTCAATAACACTAACTAGCTTTCTTAATTTGTTTACAAAAGCACGATTAGAGCACCATCGCTCTTATACATGCGTAAATAACGTTAATATCAACGACAATTCATAAGAGAAAGTTTTTACCATCTAAAACCATAATTCCCCACTCTTGATCTTGCAGCCATCTCATAGTCTGCTCAGCCTCCCAGGATCTTTTTTGGGTATGCGTGATCATTGAATATGTCGTGACTAAGATTCCGCAACCCATGGGCTTATCTTTGGCTTCGCTAGTAAATCGACATATCATAGAATCGTCGGCAGTCGACCACATTTTAAATTGTTGCTTCCATTGTTCAACCGAAACTCCAGAATTACATAGGACCAAGGCCCGCTTCCTTACTGTACAACATGCCGTCACGCCTACTAAACTTTTACCAGCACCTATACAACAATCATCAAGCTTATTTTATTTCTCACATTAATAAAGCATCTGTGGCTTTAAGCAATTAACATACCACAAGGTAATACAATGACACCAGATCTCGCCCGACCATTACCAAACATCTTACGTAAGCTCTTTTCTTGATAAGGCCTTAAAACCGTCGATGGTTTTAAATCGATACTATAAATAAAAATATATTCTGATTTAAGGACTCAGTTTCATTTAATACAATAAATCGTACTAACTTTATATCTGGATTAACAGAATCGTTTCGAAAATCATACTCCGCTAGCAATGGATGCTCCAATTCAATACATCTTTTCTGAATTACTTCAATTTTTTCTTGATTTACTTCGAAACTAACAGTCTTTAATTGTTGCTCCTCCTCGTCTTCATCCTCTTTGTCAATTTTATCATAAAACGTAGTTATGTCTTCAGGAATTGCAATCTCTTCGATATTCGTTTGATTTGGGGTCGCGCTATCATTAGATACTGTTGGCGCACCTCCTGAAGCCGGTTGATTTACAATTGGAAGGGATTTGGCTCCAAACTAGAAAATTTTAGTCAGGAATGTACAATTTACGTTTCAACGTTGCCCATAAGTGGATGATGGAACAAAAATTGACAACTAAAGTATTAAAAATTTCAATTAAACTATATTATAAATTATATAATAAATATGAAATATATGAAGTGCTTTTAAAAATAATCATCAATTGGCAGTACAATTAGATCATAAATTATTTTTAAAATTTCTATTTGTTTATTGTAACATTTATACTTAATATCTAAATCCGAATTATTTATTAATCTAGATATTAAAATATTTTTTATAAAAAATAACATGTACAACAAACGCAAATATATATATATATATATTTATATATATATATATATATATATATATATATATATATATACACGTATATCATTATTCAATAACAATATTTATAGTTATAACTTTAGTTTAAAACATTTATATACCTGTGGTGCTTTATTCTTATTTAAAACACTAGTGATGAGGCCATCCTTATCTTTGGTTTCATCTTCAATGTTCTTCCTTAATCTACAGTTCTGTATAACAGGATCTTTTAATAATTTCTGAAGCACTTCTGGAAAAGGTGACTCAATAAAGTACTTATTGTGTTTCAAAACAAGTTTCACCTATTCAAAGCAATATTTTTAAGCAAACGTCATTTACACTCGCATTCATTATATTTTAGCAACTACTGTAACTTACTTTTCCATACGATAATGTGCAAAGCTTTATAAATTCTATAATACCATCGGGAATGCTTGTTTTACTCAGTCTTTTTAAATATTCAATTATGTCGTGTGTTTGTAATCCTACACTTACAGCAGCGTATAAAGAATAAGCTGTTAATTTATACTGAAAATATATTAAACGTTAAACAATTATTTGTTTAAATTTATTCTTTGTAATTAATATAAATAGTAAAAAGTATGTTTCAAAATATTATATAGTACACAAAATCAAAATAATATTTTTACTATGTATATTTTCTGTATCATTGATAATAATTAATTTACTTCGTGCAAATGTTCTGGCCTGCACACCGGCTCTGATATCGCAATCAGAAAATCATGCGCATGTTTATAAACTGGTGAAAAAGATTCTAAAAAAATATGTCCATTAGGAGCCTAGAAAAATAATCATTGCATTATAAAAAAAAACAAACATTATATAACGTAACTATTATAATTAACGGATCTTAAATAATAGTTAATATACACACAACCCACAAAGGCCTTGAAATATTGTCCGTTTTAAGAATCATTTGTGAACGATAATCCTTTGCTCCAAATTCATCTTCAAGTGCACCTTCATCTTGCTTTTCAACATCGTTTTTTGCTGCATCTGGTATGCCCTCGGCATCATTTTCATTATAATCTTCATCGTTAACATAATCTGGATCATGGTCCTCTTTCCGTTTTTTCCATTTACCACGATCTGCCCGAGCAAATATTAAAACGAAATATATTTCTAGTTTATTAAATAAATATAATACATGGAAAATATTTATCCTACATTTAATATTCTCATAAAGGCTAGAAATATAAATGTATAGGCTACGTACCAGTATCCTTTTTAAAACGCTTTGGTGGTCCCATATTATATTTTCTATTTTAGAAATAGTTGAAAAACATTCGCAGGTGCAATTTATGAGATATGTTAAGACAAAAAAATATTTTAATTAATTGTTCGTTAGAAATAACCGCAAATTACTTGAGCTGCTGAGTGTGGACACTACTGCATCAACATCTATCAACTTAATCCTATGAGGTTAGGTTGGCATCACCATCTTTTTTCGATTATAACTATTTCGTACCAACGACAATCAGTTCTTTCAGTGTTTAGATTCTACGACTATAAATAGATCTTATTTAGCACAGAAAACTTTAAAGAATTGCATGACAAAATTTTTGAAATATTTTAAAGAATAATTTAAAGATTCAAAAAATTTAAATATTCATTCTAAAATACAATGGAAAATTTGAATATTCAAATTTCTTTCTATTATTATATTATTAATATTATTAATATTTGTTAATATCATAGTCGCCGCTATCGTTATTAGGATAAATTAATCCTTTTATAGGACAAAGTCATTAGTTTAATCGCAAATAACATATTAAGCTGATATATGTATTAATATTAATTAATAACAATATTCTTTACAAAAATTATAGAAAAAACTTTTAAGAAACATATTATTGTATACTTAAGTGAAAATTACTAAGAATTTAAATCCAAATTCAATGTCGTGTTAATGCAATCAGAATGAGTACATCGAATCATTTATTTCACGAAAATGTCATTTTAATATTTATATTGTATAAACCATTGATATTGGGCCAAACATTAATAAATCGAATGAATCCGTGAATGCAATAATTTCAGTATGAGATAAATACTCATAAAAACTATTATATTCTCTAAATTATTTCACAATTCTCAATAAAATATAACCGAGAACGTCCGAAAACATAGTAAAAGATGTCTAACAAATGAATATATATTATAAGAACAACAACAATAATAATCCCAAAAATGTATCATTTTTTGCTCGGTTTTATCATTTGTTTCTTGGAGAATTAGGTATTACATTGAAATAGAATCAAATATATCATAAGATGGCTTAAATCACAAAATACTTTAATTTTTCAAGAGTATAACACATGTATATAATATATATTTATATATACATATATAATAACACATGAGTATAATACATGTCGTAATAAAAATTATAATAATACTCAAGTACAAGAGTTCGATTCATATTAATAATTAATATCAATTCAGATGCTCCCCATTGATATTAAGAATAAAAGGCAAAGGACAAATAATTGTAGCAAGGCGTACGCGAGAATATTTTATTCTAAATTTTATTTGTCTGAAAAGTAATTACTAATCTGCGAGTAGTATACAAAATAATTCGTGTTAGATCAATAAGAATGATGAGAGAGAGAGAGAGAGAGAGAGAGAGAGAGAGAGAGAGAGAGAAAAAAGAGAAAGAAAAAAGAAAAAAAAAAAGAACATTACCAGTATATTAAATATTTAATAATGTATATCGTAGTAGGTAATGTGTCTAATACAATAATGTCGACATAAATTTTATAATATAAATAAATTATGTTAACATGTAAAGAAATTAAACAAGCGTCTGGTGCGTAAAGTAATGTAAGTATTTATCAAATGTAATGTATCCGACGGTTTCAAATAAAAATTACTCATACTGACCAGTTTTTACTTAGTATACAAAATGAAAAAAAAAAAAAAAATTTCATATAATAAACCATCGTCGTTATTACACGCCAGCACCTTTACGTGATTAAAACATCGGTGTCTATTTACGTCAAACAGAGACAAAATGAAAAGGTTAAAAATCTTATTCGGTGGAAGACACTTGGGAAGTTTACCATTAGATTGCCATTAACCTTATAATTGACTCACCATATAGTCAATAACTAAGTAAAAACTTGTCGTAATAAGAGTATGATTCTTTGTAACTTGTTGGGTGGATTCATGTATTGCAAATGTAGATAAATATTAAAATTGGCTATTCAAGTGTGTCAAGCCTTTGCAAAAACCTCATATCTTATTGTAGCAACATCATTTAAATTTAACTTGCACATTGGCAATTCGTAAACTTCTACTCCTTCTTTTCTAAGACTTCACATATATATATATATATATACATATAAGGATTATTCAATTATTTTCCGGTTAGCCTTTATCACACATTCACAATAAACACTTTCAGTCATCTAAATGCCTGTTTCTTTGATTTTTTGTTTATATTTTCAAATATTTTCTACGATAGATATCATTGTTTAACACTGTTTGTATTTATTCTGGTAATGAGTGACGATTCATTTTTGCTTTCAATTTCCATTGCCGTATAATAAGCAAAATGATTATTTTGCTTATTATGACATGCTATTACGGTCTTTACGCAATTATTTTTTATTTACAGATTATATGATATTTGCTCATCTTAAATTCATCTATAATATAAATCTCATCTACACCACTTTGAGGAACAAATGTCATACGCTTATATTTTCTCTCTTTATTATAACACTTTCACATCGCAAACACCTAGTGTCAATTATATTATATAATTTAATAATTATAACGTCAAACGATGTTTTCATTATAATTCATAATACCGATGGAAACGCAAGTTAAACTTTATAAAAATACTATTAACGGTCATATGTTTTCAGTTAACACTCCAGTAGAATTCTCGGCCAAGTATACAATCCGTTTCGATTTTTATTAATAATAATCAGCCCATTATACGTAATACTTGTCATTTATTATATGAATAATTACAATAATAGTGCAATTTATTGTAATTGTAATTACAATGGGAATATATAAGCGATTACGCGACTTCTGTCTCTTAAATACTGCATACCTGTTCGTTTAATTTAATGCAAATAAAACTTTCTCACAATCGAGATACAAAATCGACCTCCGATAAAATGAAGAAAACCCTTTTCCAATTCGTACGCCATTTGAATTTTACTATATTTTATTTTTAAAAAAGTCATAGTAAATTCCTTGACGTAGCTACAGTCCTATTTTGTATCGAATACTAAATTGTTCAATACCGATAATCCACAACATATAATGCTAATTTAGTAGAAATGCATCGGCGAGGGCGGCACAAGATTTATAATGATATAATTCATCTCGCCCCTCTTTTTTTTTTTTTTTTTTTGTCTTTTTATCTTTTTACAAAATTGGTTTTGATGCTGTCAAGTCATTTAGCGAACGTCGAAGTACTTCTAATCGTTTAATCTCCAATATATTGCAAGCGCCATGGTTCTATATTAAATATGAATTCTTAAACTGTAAATATATAATATAATTTTATCGCAGTAATAATAATTGCTATTTCCTTTTCCTTTTCATTAAATTTATTATATTACAGTATAACTACAGAGCTTCGTTTTCAATCTTCGTTTACAATTACTCGCTCAATTCCATTTTTTCTCTTGCAATTCCACTTTCAATGCCTTTCCCTTTTTATTTACAGGCGTATTTAGAATGCTTTCCAAGTATCTTGATTAATGCCAACCCAGCGAATTTTGATAAAATCGCGATTGTATAAGATTGTTTTTTTTTTTGTTTGTTTGTTCGATTGATTGAAATTTAAATACATATTAAATATCGCTTAGTTTGTGACAAAAACTTTGTGACAAAATCTATGCGCTCTCTTTGCTCAATTAATTTATCATTACATCTGGTTTATATTATTATATAGAAGAATCGAAGCGCTTCGTGTAAAAATTCATAAATATAATTTCTTCTCTACGTTAAATGTAATGTCCCGACAGACACCTGATTTCGGAATATAAATCAATTACAATATAATGGAGTTTGAAATGTTAAAAAAAGAAATATATATATATATATATATATATATTTAAAAGGTGTCAGTCACCATATACCTTACAGTAATTGTCTTACATTTTTTAAAAACAAAATTATCATTTTATTACGAATGAAAGAAACAAATTAGTAATAATCATAGCTAAACAAAATTATAATTTTATTGTTAAGACGCTTTTATACAGATGTACATTTTTCGTTATAAAAGCTATAAAGTGTATATTTCATACGTGACCACAAGCTAATTGAGTGCAATGGAATGATAAGCATAGCAAGTAGTCAGGTACTCATTAACTCATTACTCTTATAATTTATTCAAGAAGAGAGACAAATAAGTCGTATTAGAATATCTCAGAAGCAATGTTGCAAATATATAACAGGAGAGTACCTACTTTCATTAAGTAAACCTATAATTCGAAATGATTTATTTATTTTATGAAAGCATAAAATATTCCTCGAAAATTAAAAAACCATTCTCTCCATCCTTTACAAATTGATATCTACGTTAAATATACTTAAAAAAGAATTAAATGCCTCAAAAACTTCGATATACTTGGAATTTTCTGAAGTTCATTTTAAATTATGTTATTTACAAAATTGAAAAATCCATTGTTAAACTTATCGAAACTGGGTACTTCTGAGAATCTAATTTTTTCAAATTTTTATTTTTTCCTTAAAAATTGTGCTAGATTTGCTTAAATAATGGAGATATTGAAAATAAGGTCAATATAAAATAACGAGTGTTTATTTTTTTCCAATTATTTGTAAAAGTATTTTCCTTTCAATATATCAAATAAGTTTCTTTCTAAATGGCTTTGTTTATGCGATCGAACATAAATTATTGCGATAGAAAGTCGAGGAATTTAATAGATAGTTTCATTTAGTTGCAGTACGTTGACGAGTAAGGAAAATTTTTGTTGAGTTATATTGACAAATCAATATAGCTATAAATTATTATGATTTTTTTTACAAAATAATCACTTTGCTTATTATACGGCAATGGAAATTGAAAGCAAAAATAAATCGTCACTCATTACCAGAATAAATACAAACAGTGTTAAACAATGATATCTATCGTAGAAAATATTTGAAAATATAAACAAAAAATCAAAGAAACAGGCATTTAGATGACTGAAAGTGTTTATTGTGAATGTGTGATAAAGGCTAACCGGAAAATAATTGAATAATCCTTATATGTGTGTATATATATATATATATATGTGTGAAGTCTTAGATAAGAAAGACAAAATCCTATCGTAACCCCTCCTCCTCCTCCATCCCCTCCTCCAGTATTTTAATCGATAGTTGCGCGACGCATTCTAATTCAATGGCAGGCAGAACATCTGCTTGAGCAGTCCCTTCTTGGGGCTGTCCTCCTCAACGACGTCGTCGTAATCGTTCTCATCGAAGGCGTCCCCGAAGAGCGAGCCGTTCTCGATATTTATGTTATTGTTGTGGTGGTGGTTGTTGTTGTTGGCGTTGTTGCTCGAGTTCATAGAGTCGTAGCTGGGATCGGTGATGCTGAGGGACCTCGAGTAGCTCGGGCTCTCGTAACGAAAAGCGATTGGCGGGGGCGGCGGGGGCATGCCGTAGTCGTTGTAGTTGTCGTCGCTGTGCACGTAGCGCATGAGGAACAGGGGCGGCGGTGGCGGCGGTGGCGGCGGCGCCCGCAGCTGCGGCCAGGGCTGGAGCTCGCAAGGGATGAGAAGTGGCGGGTCGTGGGCGCGGGGTTCGACGCTGAAGTGAAGCATCGCCAGCCTGTCCTGGAGCTCGTACATGTAGCACTGGTGTACTTGTCGGTGGTGCTCCGCGTGCTGCTGCAGCAATAGCTGGTGCTCGGAGTCGACCTCCGGGTAGACCGGGTACTGCTGATAGTGGTGGTACTGGTGGTGCTGCTGCTGGATTACGACCGCGAGATGTTCCTCCTCGCTGCAGGACGCTCGGCTGGGCGTCTCTTGTCACACGCAGTCCTCGAGTGACATGAGTAGCGGATTCACGTACTCGAAGCCTTCGAATTCAGTTTGGTCGATCCTGTCGATCACTCGCCTAGAACACGGTAACGCTTTCATTGATCCGTTTAAGTCGTTGAAGGGTCGAGAATTAAATCCTTTACAGCTACGTGGGTGTTGCAAGGTTCGGGTACACGTGCGAAAGAGAGAGAGAGAGAGAGAGAGAGAGAGAGAGAGAGAGAGAGAGAGTGGGGCGTGGCGATGCGGAGGGACGGGAGGGGGGTTTACCATAAAATAAGGCCCAAATGCTACCAAATGCTAGTGGCTGTCGTAACATTGCTTCTTCGTGAGGTGTTAGTAGCCGCTATTGGCTTAATTGGCGTTAAGAGAAAGTATCGACAATTTTGACTCGGGCGCATCCAGCCACTGCTACTTGCTTATTGACTATTTGAATAAAGAAGTGCAGGCGCGTTTATTTGCTGAGCAAGCTCAAATGTTATCTCGTAATTGGGCTATCTTGTTGGCGCTTCTTTCAAAGTTCAAATTGTCGAAAAGGAACTGTTTGATGACTTTTCGGGGAAAATGTTAATTTGAAGAGCAGATTCCAAACAACGAGTCAAAAGTAACGAAGAAATTTAATGAGAAAAAACCGGAATTTTATATTTATTTAGTATCTTGTGATTATGTAAAGATGTAATAATTAATTAAAAGTTGATGACAGCTATCATGGAATGGCATTAGTTCACCGAAATGTTTAATTAATAAGCGATTTATGTAAAAAGACAGCAGCTTGGTACTTCATTGTGAGCAGCATGCACCATCACGTGCCTCGAAGACAGTAAATATAAGACATTACAATGATGGAGATGTTAATAAAAAACGAAGAAAAAACACGTTAAAATGTCCGACACGTTGGTAAAATGTTTCACAAAGAATGACGCGTATGAAAAAGGGGTAAAGTGGCTACTCTATTATTCAGAATCGAAAGCCCTTGATATAATAACTCCAATTTCTTCCGTATAAGCAAGCAGATGATTCATCAAAGTTAACTCGTAGATCGTAAAGGCCTTTCAACAAGAGATAGCGCAAGGTAGGTAATTCGGGTACTATTTTAATGAGACCGACAGGCAAATAAGCGTAGCGAGAAAAGAAAGAGCGAGAGCGCATGCAAATTTAGGCGTAGAAGAGCGATAAAACGGGTTTAGATAGTTAGATAGATAGTGAGTTAGTGTATATGAGAGAGAGAGAGAGAGAGAGAGAGAGTGAGAGAGAGAGAGAGTGAGAGTGAGAGAGTGAGAGAGGTAGCTAGAGTAGCTTACGGATCATCGGGTGTGAGATGTACTGGCTCGTCTGTAAATTCGGGTGGGAAGTTTGCCAAATCGCGATCGGAATCCAAGCGCGGCTTGTAAGGCGGCGTGACCTGTTTCTTCTCCAACTGTAACACACACACACACACACACACACATCGCAAGGAATGTAAAGGGACAGAATTAATAGTTCGATCGAGTCGATGGAAAATTTAAATAAACTCGCACCGTAATATTAAGTGGTGCGAATTACTGTAAAATTAGGTACTACTTGAGACACAATTTGGCATTGCAATTTATCTTTCGAATAGTGAAGATTCGCCAGGCTTTACATGGCCGTATAAATTGCTTTTCTACATTGAGTTGGATATTAAATTAAATTTCATATAATTTGAGTGATTTGAATGATTAGCAGCCCATCGTCATTAAATTATGCATTTGAAAGATATTACGAATAAAAATAATCCGATTTCATAAATATGTATATATAATATATATATATTGCTAATGGTATGAAATACTGTTTTCTTAAAATCACTTAAAATTCGTGTCTGGTTTCTTTGTTTTTTTTTTTTTTTTTTTTTTGGTTTCTCTTTTAAGAATAAATTGAATTTGCAATATGTCATAAAGACTTTAAGCTTTTATTTGTATCGAATATATAGGAATTGGGTTGGTTGTCATAAGTTTCGCAAGAAATTTACAATATCAATTTATAGTATTTCTGAGGCATTTTATATATATATATATATATATATATATATATTCATGCGTAAAATTAATAATTAAATAAAATTAAATGCAAGCCCTAATCAAATAAAAATGATTAAATTGAAAATAATAATTGAATGAAAATTCGATTAAAGTTGTGACAGAGAATTGTTAAAGCGTATTAAAAAAATTCGTGACAGTTGAAATTTAACTTTTTACAGCTCCGCTTGCACTTGCAAAAGCAAAAAAGACCAATCTCAAATAGCAACGCCAGACACACAAAAGTTATCATTTTAAAAAGCACATTACTTTCAATTTATGAAAATGAATGGAATTTAAATTAATAAAATTACTAACGCGGTTAACGTAAAAGAACTGGGGAAAACGAGTTAAAAGTTTTTTTCTTTTTCGCTGCCAAGTGCCTGTGAGCTGTGCGTACCTTGCCGTTGGCTTTGACAATAATAAATAATGAATATTAATCTCGATTGTTCGTCTCGAAAAAGATAAAGGATCCGAAGAGTCGAGTTGAAATACAACGCGAACAAATAAATTTTAATTTAAATGCAGCCTCTTTATAATCCTGGCAAACTGCAAGCGGCACATTAATATTAATCCACTGCCTTTGGATTAAAATTAAAGTGAGAAAAACACTCGCGCGCGCACAGATGACACCCTTGCCAATCATTTACTTATGCGCATAAATCTCAATTGTGCTAAATCGCCAAATGCCGTGTATCTTAAAAAGCACAAAACTGCTTCCGCCATACGGCAATCAATAACCCAGTAAATAAAGGAAACATCAGATTATAGGAAATGATCGAAAGCTGCCTCACCATCTCCCAGTCAATGGCCTTGAAAAAGGCGTGGGTCATGATCTCTACGAAGGCGATGGGGCTCTTGTCGCAGCCCAGCCTCTCGGCCGGATTCTTACAGAGGAATCCCTTAAGGACGGAAGCGGCCTTGACGGAGAGGGAGCGCGGTATACGGATGGTCTTTTGCAGGATGACCTGGAAAAGGTAGTCCTCGGTATTCTGATCGGGATTTTCCGAGGCGCCGGCGATGTCGAAGGGGCTGCGCCCGGCGAGCATCTCATAGAGGAGGACACCGAGGGCCCACCAGTCGACGGAAAAGCCATAGTCCTCGCCTCGTAGGATCTCCGGGGCGATGTAGTTGGGCGTACCGCAGAAGGTCGCCGTGGTGTCGCCCTCGCGCACACCCTCCTTACACATCCCATAATCCGTGAGCTTTACGTGACCCTCGTGGTCCAGGAGGACGTTGTCCAGTTTCAAGTCGCGGTAGATGATTCCTATCCACGGATAATGTTTGTTTCATTATTTCGTTGATCTCAGCTGCGCGATATCGCCAACGCCATCGGTATATGCGCCAACTCGGGCCCTTCGTTCTATTCTTAACTTACATTGCTTTTTTTTTTGTTTTTGTTTTTGTTTGTTTGTTGGTTCGTTCGTTTGTTTTTTAATCAAATACTGCCGCTCACTACGGCCACTCGACCTCCTCACCTTACGTTACTCTATCCCCATCGCTTTTCCCCCAATTGCAAAAGCAGACCGTAAAGAATATTTAACCGTCTGTATTGAAATAATTCGAACGAGCCGGCGCTCTTTCGGGATTAACGATGCGCTCAACCCGTACGTGCAACGCGAAAAGTATATGCCAGGAAATTAGCTAAGCGATGTAATATTTGAATGCGTTGAATCGAACGAATAACGTACTTAATAATGCGATAATGCACCTCATTAAATATATTAAATATATATTGAGCTTATTCATTATTTAATTTTTTTTTATCCCTATTATAACATTACAGCTTGCTGTTGTTAAGCAAACTGAGAACGTTACAAATTTATACTGAAAAAGCTTCTTACCATTTTATTTTTTTTTTCCACCAGTTTACCCCGATCATTAGCTTACGCAATTTTCACTGTATTCGATTTATTATTGTTGCTATGATCACCATCACCACCATCACTACTATCGTTATTTTTTTTTATTATTTGTCCTCTTTTTAATATCGACGAATGTAACGAAGTAATTTAATTGATTTGAACTATCAATCGGATGTCTAATTCATGAGCTAAATTTAGTTTTTAAAACGAAACTTTTCTCGCACCTTATAACAGCGAATATTGTTCACATACGCAGGCATGGAGTATAAATAATAGTTCCTCCATTCTATTCGATAATTACCGATAAAGCCATTATTTATCTTGCACATTAATATTATTGACTTTAAACTGGCTTTACACGTATTTCAGTAACATTGAAAAATATTTCTAATTTCAGATATTGCTTTTAAATTATGTAGGAATACAGCGATCGATAAAGGCGCGGCACGATAATTCGTAAACTGGCATTTATAGAAGATCCCTTTTGCTTTCCATTATTCATTAATAATTTTCATTACGATTTAACGAACCGAACGAACGCGTACACTTGAATGGCATATGTGTAATAATATAAAGCATATAATTCACTATCCGATAAGTATTTTTCTTCCGTTTGAGCAAATGGGAAAAACAGCGTTGATTGCCCACAACAATATAAAAGCTTCACTACTTTATAAGCTCAACTCGTTTTAAAATTCACGTCCAGCGCACAAACTTCAGCTTGCTAAATTTTCAAACGAGCGCATTAACTCCTGGACTTCTGAATTTCACGCACGACATGAAAACTATCCTCGACCCCCACCCTGACTACAAAAAAACATTCCAATCACCCTCTGCGCACTGCAGCCATCACCTTTACTACCTTGGAGAAAATCGAGGGTGCGGCCACTCACCCTTGGTATGCAGAAAGTTGAGCGCAAGGCTGATTTCCGCGGCGTAAAAGCGCGCGTGTTCCTCCGGGAGGCGCCGCTGACGCTGCATGTGGAACATGAGGTCGCCACCTCGGACGAACTCGATGACGAAGAAGAGCCGCGAGGGAGTCTGGAAGCAGTAATGGAGACCGACGAGGAAGGGGTGGTTCGAGGCCGTCTCGAACACGTGCTTCTCCGTCTGCACCCAGTCGATGTCCTCATCGTCGGTCACAAGCGCCTTCTTTATCACCTTCATCGCATAGATGCGCTTCGTCTGCTTGAGCTCGACCATGAGGACCTTGGCGTAGGAGCCACGCCCAATTACGCGTATGAGCTCAAAGTCCGAGAGGCTGTACTGGCGGTCGCTCGCTCCCTCCGCACCGGCGACCTCATCCAGGGCGAGCTCCTCGCCCTCGACGTCACTCACCGCGCCTGTCCGTGCAAACATTACGGTTCAGTATCAGTAGTACTCACATTGTCTTATCTTGAGACTCGGCAAGCCAGACGATGACGATTGACGAGGACGACGACGGGGGCATCCCGAGCGGATGCTTCATTCGTGTTTACTGCTTTCTAGTATTGGGGAGTAGTCGGAAAGTAATTAGTCGATCTAAAATAATCTAAAGTAATTCTCGATCGCTTTGAGACGCTGTCACTACTAAGTATTAAATTATTTTTGCTTGATCATTTTGATATTTGGAGTTTAGCTGAATTATCGTAAAATTAGCAAAGTTATTGCGTTGGAAAAATTTGTAGCAATTGCTTGGATAATAAGGCCGAACAACCGAACCGTCGGTTAATCGGATAATTGTTAAGAGACGTCGATAAGTCATTTGACACATTTGATAGAAAATGTAAACGCCGGTATCGGCGCCAATTTCAAAACATCATCTTTTTATACGTTCGTTCCATCAATTGAACCACGAAGCAATTTTTAAAATGTAAATGTGCCGAAAGCTCTCGTTCGTCAGCCTATTTCATCAAATTCTTTTTCCGTCTGTTTCGACTAATGCTAAGTCAATCGATATGGCAATTTTTTTTCCTACCCCAAATTATCATAAATTATTACATTCTCAAATTGCGCTTATTTGAAGAAATCAATACAAATATAAATACCTGTTCCAGCCAACAGTGCTCTAAATACAATTTTAAAAGAAGTTCAGCAAAAAAAAATATTCATATACGTCGATATTATTAATTGATAGTAGACGACATTTTTTTAAATTATAGTAACGTAGGAAATAAGCAATCAATATATTATTCGATATACAGCTGGACAGATATAGACAATATTTTAAAGACTTTACGTATCTGATATTTTTGTATAAAGAAATTTGTAAAATATTGAACGCGTATAGATACGAGTTGTTGTTTCTTGAAGTATATTTAAAGAAATTTAAATGTATTGTTTGCGAAAAAATTTCTTACACATGATTATAGTGAATAAAATTTCATCAGAATAATATTTGAAACTAGTCTTTTGAAGCTTTACTAATCGCGTGTCCGCGTGATAATAATTCAAATAATTTCCGATCGATGTTTTTTTTATTTGTTTCGCAAAACTTTATTAAATTTATAATATACATATGTGTGCGCGTACGCGTGTTTGTTAGCAATCGATGTATAAAAATGCTTAAACAGCGCAATGATGGAAAACCGACTTTGAAGAATCTAATAGCCACTATTCAAGAGACGAATGTCGACAAATGTCGCTACTCTCTTCGCGTAGCACAAAGGTTAAAAGTGCATGGAGTAGATTTTATTCGTTAAATAAAAGAAAAGAAAAGAAAAGAAAAGAAAAGAAAAGAAAAAAACAAAAACAAAAACAGTGTTTAATGCATGGTTTTACACGAGTACGCAGCCGATCGCACTAGTTGACAAAGGTCAATAGTATTGCCGAGATTTCATAATAATGTTCGACGGGGCCGATCGGCCTTACTAGACAGAGGGATGCCCCTCCCTCCCCGTCTCCTGCCCGTTCATTATCCAGGGTCATTAGAGTCGATCGCCCTTATCGTCACAATCAGCGGAGGATCGAGCGCGTATCGATAATCGCTAATCGGCGCCTCCTCGGTTTGCGACTCACGATTGCGGTAGACATGCTCCTCGGCGGCGTTGCTCTCGGCGCCGTCGTCGTCGTGGTGCCCGGGTGGGCTCGACTGGGGCGAGTCCGGCTGCGTCTGTTCGCCGTTTCGCTCGGTACCCTGCTGCTCGCCCAGGGATAGCTGCTGCTGCTGCTTCTGGCGCAGGCAAGGCTTGCTCACCTTGTGGCACTTCTTGTGCACGAGGAGTTTGCACTGGATGCACTTGAAACCTTGGCGGCCGAGACCCCAGATCCTGTCCTTGCAGTACTCGCAGAAGGCTCGCTGGAAGTTACGGATGCGATATGAGCTTGGCCCTCGACCTGTTGGCGAATTCTCCAGGGCGGGGGATGCACCACGATTTTTCGCGAGTGATACGTGCTACATTGCGTTGCGTTGCGTTGCGACGCTCCCCCACCCCGGACACCGACACCCCCAACTACCCAACTACCCAACTACCCAACTACCCAACTACACGACTATCCGACTACCCGACTATCCGACTACCCAACCACTCAACCACCCAACCACCCGACTAATCAACCACCCGACTAATCAACCACCCAACCACCCAACCACCGGAGCTTAATTAATCGCGTTGAGCGCTTGCGCCCAAAGGGCCGATGATGTCGCGCGCCTCACCAGCGCAAATTTACAATATGTTAAGATTGTTGAGTTGTTAATATTGTTCCCCTTGCAAAATGACAATCGCGACTATATAGAAGAGCATAATTTTCCTACGTATAATGGTTGCTCTAAAATTCCACTTGGCCCCTCTGCCCCCTCCGCGACAGACATCATTCAAAGCAAGTTTCGGGCATATCGATCCATTTAAGTAACAACGCAAATGTGTTTTCCTTAAATACAATAGTTTATAATTAAAAAATGTAGCGTATCACTCGCGACTCGTAACTTTAACGTTAATTTGACCTAATAAATACATTGGTTTATCGTATTAATAATCTATTCGTCATAATACGTGAATATGAAAGATGAATTACAACAATACGATACGTCGTAAAATAAACAAAACAAAAACAAAAAACAAAACAAAAACAAAAAAAGTAAAATATTTTCGCTCATTTTTTAATAAAAAAAAAAAAAAAAAAAAAAAAAAAAAAAAAAAAAAAAAAAAAAAAAAAAAACTACAACTAATTATTACGGGTATTACAATATCCGCTTATTAATTAGAAAATCATCAAAATACAATTTACATTGTTTTACATTTAAAATTTGTGCATTTGACAATCGCGGTTAATGCGTATTAGAAGCACACGATTTTCCATACATATAAAACAGCACATTAACATAACTATATCCACATACGTTATATTATTCCATCTTTATAATAATTAATGAGCATTGACGAAGGATTTATTACAAGCTTTGTGAAATTTATTAAAAACATTGTGTTAAAAAAAAAAAAGAACAAAAAAAAAAATACTCTAATACTCTTGACAAATATTATATTTTTACGCATATAAAATCAGCGTGTGAGACATTTATAAGTGTAATAGACAAAAAAAATATAAAAGTATGGTATTCTTACCCTGTTGAATCGTTTAGCCTGGAATATGTGTCCGTTCACCCGATAAAGTTTTCTCCATCTGCGTGCACCACGTCTATAGATACTCCCTTTTGATAAGAAAATATATTTAGTGCTACGAACTTGGTTGGATACATGATTTAAAATTCAATTAGATTGAAAGAATTTGCTCTCCCAGATAAATAAATTATTAGAAAATTCGTAGGATATTGGTTATTAGAAAAATGGTCAATGGCTTCCAAACGGCACGAATTACGTAAAACGAAGTCTTACACATGTTAATACTTTATTTATCTATTTACTGAATGTCTTAACGATAGAAATAATTCTTTTTCGCACGCTACACCGATAATCTCATTTTAACATTTCAATAATCAATATGCGTAAAAAACAGTTTTATCGATAAGAATTTTAATTGAACTGCTGAGATTATTGGCAATTTTTTAACAAAAATGTTTTTTATCTTTGTATAAAATTCTAAATTTATTATAATAAATGGGAGAAAAATGTATTTAAAAGCGTAGACACGTTGTGATATGCTATTTACAGATGCGTAATTGTGCCGAGAATTAATATAGGATTAAACGATCGTTTTAGTTATTTAAAAAATGAATCGAGGCGGTATAATAATTTTTATTCTCCCGTTCGCTCTCTCTCTCTCTCTCTCTCTCTCTCTCTCTCTCTCAAATCTTAGCTTTATTTGCAGGAGCAAGTACAATTGAAGAAGCGATTATGTATATGTAGAGAAATACTAAGGTAACTTGATTAAGCATCGACATTTGTTCAGATATTGACATAGAAATTAATGTTATCGCCTTAACCATTAAGCATCGCGCGATATGATATTAACGCGGTCTGTCAACGACAAATCTCGCTCATTTCGCATATTCTCTTGAAATCTTGGAATGATGGAGAGACAGAGACGAGGAAAACATCGTCTGGGTCGGCAATATCTTCAATCTGTCGCATACTTGATTTTTAAAATACACTCTTCCGTTGCCTTTCGCTTTTCGTTTTAGCTCTTTCAACGAGCCCTATTCAACGTTCACTAAAAAGAGCGAAAAGATTATTTATATACTCTCCACCTTTCCATCGTCACTAGGGCGGCTAAATGAGAAACGAATACTCGCAATTGGAGACTCACGGAAAATGTCGTACTTCCTAATAATCCTCGTATCTGGTTAATCATTGCTAAATATTCGGGGACTTTTTTTTCCGGGCTACGTTAGTCAACATAATTCTCATTTATGATCAGTAACATTCTTTTTTTCTTTTTCACTATCGCATATGGTAAAGTAGGAACGAATGAAGGAATAAAAATACAAATAAAAAAAAAAAAAAAACATGCGTAAAACTAAGTTGGATGACAAAAGGAGAGAGGGGGAAGGTCACGTACGTACTAGGAAAGTTATCAAAACATTAACGTAAACCAGAGACAAGATGTAGCGGACGAAAATAATTCCGTAAAATATTCTCATAAAAGACTCTTTCGAAATTTCATTGGCCAAGGCCCTCAATACCTCGTAGGTTATCACTTTATTTCACGAATAAAATCCAACTCTATTCAGAGTAAGAACATTAGCCTGAAAAACAATAGCCAACTAATCCATACAAGATAACACGCAACGTCGAACGCATAACACATAGCACGAGATGGACTTTTACATTTATCTTTATTTATTTAATTATTTATTTATTTATTTTTAACACAACAACTCCGTCGGACTATACGTATTAAATAGTTCGCGTTGGGCAGCTCGTTGTGACCCAATCAATTGTGGCCAACAAATTTCATTCGACAGTTAACGTGGATTCGACAACGGACTCTCGGCTCCACGGACAGCTTCGCACTCATAAAGTAACGCGCCAGCGGCGACTCGATCCAAGGGCAAACGCGATCCTAATGTCACTATCCTGTGATGGGCTCCGCACCATCCTCGCGCTTCCCCCTCCCAACACCTTCTTTCGTCGACGAGCTATCGGCTATCTACATAGCCCTTTGGCAAAATCGCCCATCGGCCGAGCTTTACGACCCGAGCACCCGTTTTTCACATGGTAATCGTCGTACAGGGCGGCTTATCGGCACTCCGAGCGGCCCCGTGGAAGACGAAGCTACTCCTCTCCAAGGTGCCGCACGTGAGGAATCGCAGGAGGATCGCAACCGCCTCGGACTGCTCCATGTCCCGGATGGCATCGGAACGCGATCTAGTTATCGTCGCTCGTGCCTCGCGTCGACTGAGATCAAGTCTGGAAAATTCCCCCTAGCTTTCCCAGCCCGTACGACCGCGACGTATTTGTAAATAATAATCGCGAGTATTGTTGTCGGGAACGGAGGGATGCCTCGCCTCTACGGCGATTCCAAGAACGATTCCGAGGAACTGGTAGGTTCGGTTGGGCCACGCGCCTCGATCTCTCTCCAATCTCACGCTTGCTTTCTCCTGTATACACGTCATCGACGATTCAAACGATTCGACGATTGCGTCTCGCGCCTAGTCCTGCACCACCGACAACTGCCGATTCGGATTCGTACGACTTTTCGGAAGCGTAGCAATGCTTTCTTATTCCAACTCGTACGAATAAATTCCTCCGGCCATCAATAGGCTTTATACGTTCTCTACACAGATTATATAGATTGCCTTTCGATTAATTAATTAATTAATTAATTTCAATTTTTTTAATCTATGCAAATACATCGGTGTATGAACACGTGTGCGTAAGGCAACGAATGGATATTATATTTTAAAAATCATCACATTGAACAAATAACGAGCTATCTAATTGTATAGTATAAATCAATATAAAATAAATCTAATACAATAAGTTGAAAAGTGGTTGTGATAAAATTTGCTTTATCCCTTAAATTTGACATAAAAAAAGTAAAAGAAGCAGAAGATGAAGAAGAAGCAGAAGCAGAAGAAGATGAAGAAGAAGAAGAAGAAGAAGAAGAAGAAGAAGAAGAAGAAGAGGAGGAGGAGGAGGAGGAGGAGGAGGAGGAAGAGGAGGAAAAAGAGGAAGAGGCAGAAGAGGAAGAGGCAAAAGAAAAAGACGAAGAAGAAGATGATGATGATGATAAACAAATGGTCTATGAAATGAAAATTACAACTACTACATCATGATTATCGCTCAAATACTTTCAAACTTATTGCTCATGTTAATCATGGGCATACATATAAGTAAAACATTTGATACTCAATTCCATAATACTTTTGCATACATTTCTTTAATGAAAGTAATAAAATCATTTAAAGATTTATAATGAAATATATTTAGCGCTTTGATAAATAAATGAACATTAATATTTAATGGCTTTTTAAAATAGAAATTTGTAAAATGCTGGAAATGTTAAAATGTTTGTAAGTTATGGGATGACAAGCCAAAATTATATGGCGATAAGTAAATTTTCTTATTCGATTAAATTAAAATCACGACTGATTAAGGAAATAATGAACTTTGATGAAAAATTAATTTTATTAACGATTGACGGTACCTTTTCCTACGACTATTTACCATACGAGCCTCATTGAAAAAATAAACTTTTTACGATTCAAGGTATTTAAGAAAAATGTAAAATCTACATTTAAAACTACTGCCATTATCATCGTCGTCATCGTTATCATTATCATTATCATTATCATTATCGTTATCATTATCGTTATCATTATCGTTATCATTATCGTTATCATTATCGTTATCATTATCGTTATCATTATCGTTATCATTATCGTTATCATTATCGTTATTATTATTATTATTGTTATTATCATTGTTGATGTTGTTGTTGTTGTTGTTGTTGTTATAACTATTATTGTTGCCATTATTATTATTTTATTCCAAAAATAGTTCCACAATGAGCAAAACAACGAGTAAATTACAACAATTTTAACTTTCTTAATTGTATAATAGTATTGATAGTTGGAATTTAATGTAAAGCTGAAAAGTTTCTTTCATTCAATAATGTACAATAAGTATTATTTCAGTTTCTAAAATAAAATCTCTTAGAAACTTAGATATTTCGCAATGAACAATAATACAAGGTACTGGGCTACGAGAAAACGTGATTTAATAAATAATCTTTTAAAAATTTTAGCCATTAATATAAAGTTTTTGATCTAGCAACAATTTTCGAAAAGAATTTCGCATACTTGTCCTTTTCAAAAAAACAAAACAAATCCAAATAGCGATCAACTAAAATGCAATTTCGGTAAATGAAATATTTCTTACCTATTCCAAAAGCTTTTTTAACGGCTTCCATACCGTCACCTATATTCTTTATTTTCTTTGTTTTTATATAAAAATCAACTACGCTACCCAATGTTGTTTTTCCGTTCTATATTTCATTAAAAGCTGCCTTTATAAAATTACAAAAACAAAGTTATAATGATTGTACGTAACATATGGGAAGTTATTCGTTTATAAAAAGTTGTTAAAATCTAGGTAAGCAGAGACGAAATTGTATTTTATAAAAAATATTCCAAGTATTAACTGTGAGGGCTATATTACTTATTCATAAATAATTATGAGCAATCGGCTTTAAAGATTCAGTACTATTCAACTACAATGTTTCAATTTTTTTCATCTTTTTTACTTCCTCTTTCTTTTTTTTTTTATCCGAAGGATCGAAAGAATTTTTTAAGAAAAGGTCTACAATAAATATATTCGTCGTTGTACGAAATACCGTGAATATAAAACGATATTTAAGAGATGGAGAAACGACAGTTTACAGTTATGGAAAAAAGTTATTTTCCGTTTTAAATATTATCTTTGTGAGAATTTATGCGAAGATGTTAAGAAAAACAAACAAATAAAGAATAAAAAAAAAACAAATATATATATATATATATATATATATGTATGTATATATATGTATATATGTATATGTGTGTGTGTGTGTGTGCGCGCGTGCATTACTAAAGTCGATTATGTCATTAATTTTACTTTGACATAGTCATTATTGTATTCAAATATTGTTTTACATATTAGCAGAGTAATAATAATTATTTATTTTGTGCTTGTAAATTCAGTTGGATATAACATAATATAGTCTGCACTACGTTTTAATGAAATTCTAATTAAATACAAATTAATAATTTGGGAATACATATTTTGAAAAGAATTATCAATATGAAATGATTAATTACTCATTTATTTATAATATATTCGATTATAAATACTCTAAATTATTGGTTCAATATTTATTATCATTATCAATATTACTTAAAAAAAAATGAATCAATGATCTTTGAAATTTAAATATTTTCAATTAAGTTCAAGGTTCATTTGTGTTTGCATCGTAGCATACGGGAAACTTCCTGTTACTTCAATGTTTTTCATACGTTTCACTTTTACAAATAATATAATAAATAATATATAACAGATTAAGAACTTTAGAAAGCATTTTTTTTTTTATAATGATTGGTTATTTATGCTTAAAATAAGGTTGAACGTGACGTAATAGAAAGTACATTGCTAATGTATAACAGTTTAATGCAATAAATTGAAGTAATTTTGTACAATAGAAAATAATAAAAAGTCGGCAATAATTTGTTTAGTAGGATTAAGTAAATTGACGAAAAGATTTATGAATTTCACGATTTCAACATTATCGTGTGTAATGTTGTAAAAGATCATAGCACCGATAAAATCGCCAACGCTAAATCATATAAATTCGTAAGTCAATAAAAATGACCGAATCACTAGAAAAGCATACGAAATATAAAAATATGTGACTATAAATTGGTTTGTTATTAATTTATGGATTTTAATTCTTGTTAAAGCTTTAATCGTGACGGTTTCATAATGGATCGAGCTACTGTAATCTATGCAAAAGCAATTAAAATTGCATCAAATGCTATCGTATAATTGTGATATTTTGTTAGGAGGTGTTATTGTAAATACTTGGTTACGAAATGAAAATTGAAAACGCTCGAATTGACAATCAACGAGATCTTCATCATTCAGTATAATCTAATAAGTACAAAATACATCATGTAAATATGCCTGGGGATTATAAATAAATTAAAAAATATGATATAATTAAGCGTAAGGCAAGAGGTAAATTCACTTTTAATGAGCTTGCAATAATGTTGATGGTGAAGTGGAAGAAATGTATGGTTTAATAATACAAATATATTGGGTAGTCGAATATTTTACTGAATTAATTATCAGAAATTGTTATTACTCGAGGGGATAATTTTATAAAAATTGTAAAGTAATAATAATAATAATTGCAACAAACTTTAATGAATTATTAGCATAATTTATATCTTGCTTAGAGAATGATACATAGGCCGCTATAAATATTAAAAAGTTACTCACGATCTTTTAATATCAAATAATTTAATAAAGCAACTTGAGCTTAATACGATGTATTAAGTGAATATAAACGAACGTTGCATCACTGATTTTAACTGAAGCGCATTACGACATATTATCGCACGGTACATACGATTGTAATAGAAATAATTATTATTGTTGAAACGTGCTATTCTTTTAAGTAATGGGTATAATAAAATTATCGTTAATACACAAAGTGACATTGCATATTAATTTCCGTTATAATGTAAAAGTAATTAAAAGAAAAGCCGTGAGTGGATGAGAGAGAGAGAGAGAGAGAGAGAGAGAGATAACGAGCGAGAAGGTAAAACCAATCGAGCTGAATCCTTGATGATTCCCGAGGGATTCAATCAAAGTCCTTTTTCGAAGCAAATAAGCTGCGTGTGAGCAGAAAACTCTTAAGATTATCCAGCAGATAATAAATAGGGCGTTAAGCTTAGGATAAAATGTATCGTCGAGCGAGCATTAAATGAACGATTAAAAAGAAACGGATAAATGCCGACTGAAATAGAGGATGAGGTGGAATGGGATGGGGTGGGAATAGGGAGTGAGCGATGATGAGGATGAGGAGGAAGCAGGGGATTGGGGTTGGGGTTGGGGGTGGGGGGAGTGGGGGGAGTGGGGTCGAGCGAGCATTAAATGAACGATTAAAAAGAAACGGATAAATGCCGACTGAAATAGAGGATGAGGTGGAATGGGATGGGGTGGGAATAGGGAGTGAGCGATGATGAGGATGAGGAGGAAGCAGGGGATTGGGGTTGGGGTTGGGAGTGGGGGGAGTGGGGGGAGTGGGGGGGTGACAAGCAAAAATAGAGCGAGCGAAGAGAAAGCACGAAGAACAGAGAAAAAAGTTGTACTTACGATCCTCGCCCTGGCACGGCATCCCCGGTGCAGGTGGCACGGTCGGAAAGACTGCAACAGAATAAAAGGAGGTTATCAGGAGGAGCGAAAATAAGTGTCGTAGATCTCTCCCCCTCCTGACCAATGTCTACGTCCGTTCACGTGGACAACGCAGCAGCCCCATATAACGCGACGGCGGCCTCGTAGTTATCGCACTTATTAAAGGTCTCGTGGGGTAAAGTGTTCCAACGCGCGCGCGTGCGTGCGTGCGTGCGTGTGCGTGTATGGACGTGACCTACAATAGGAAGTGCTCGGTCATTGGGTGCTGATAAAATATTTCTCAGCCCCTCGGCCTCTTTAGTTAGAACTTTCGACTCACGATTCTAGAATTTCGATTTATTAGAATTCACGAAGCGAGGATTATGAAACGGATGATCGAGTCGGAAACTTTACTCAACATTTTTCTAGTTTGCATTGATCCGAGAAAATAAATAGGAAATTCCTTTGCTGTCCATTAAAGCGCCTTCTGTAATCATTTAATTAACAGCAAGTGAGAGATAATGTGCTGCACGTTTAATAATTCATAATGTTGTTTAACAGTTAAATCGTCGAGGAGCTGCTTAAAAAAAAAAAAAAAAAAAAAAAAAAAATTTCGGCAACGGACTAAGTGGCATTTAAGCATTAAAGACTAGTGGCATTAATATTTTTTAGAAAAGAGTTGAGACTAACCGTGCGACTGCCAGTCGAGCTGTAAACAAACAACTGTTTCGTATTGTTGACTATTAAAATAGTGAAATAAAGGATAAAACAACTCGGTCGGAGAGAAGCGCTGCGAAATTGCGATAACTAATGTTCGTGAGCATCGACGACATTTTAACGATGACGAGTTTACTCAAAAACAAAATGTTATCACGGTAAAGCTAAATAAATGTTAAGCGTCTTTAAAAATTAATCGTAAGCGCTGCATCGATGTGATATTTGTACATCCACTCGTTTAATTCCGATAATCACATGTAATAAAAGTCGGAGCTCGGGTTGAACCTGAAAGCGTAAGGTTTATTTGCGGGTCACAGCGACGACGCTCGTCCTGCTCTACCAAGGACCCCGACTAATCTCTCCCACCGTTTCTCAAAAGTCCTCATAAACAATACTGACGATAGATGATAAAACGTGGCGGATTTTAAAATTTTACAACAATCCTAACGTCCTAATTTTCTTTGCACTTTGACTCTAATCCTAAACCTAAACCCTACTTTTCGACACCGTTGGGTATATACCATTTTTTGCTAATATCCCCCTTCCCCCATACTCATTTTCGACTATTGATTATCGTCTCGAGCATCAAGGCGATGCATTAACCAAAGCTCGATTGTTTTCAACTTCACAACGCGAGGACACATTACACAAAAGTACAAAAGAATACGTGAAAAAGCCGATCGATAATGGATTTGTCGGGAGAAATTTAGCGACTCCGAGGTAAGCACAGCAGCAGCTCGACAAATATCAGGAGAGGTTCTCGTGCTCTCGTGTGCCCTATCGTTTGAGCGCGAAACAGCCCCAATTACGCACGTGCACACACCTTCTGTCCACGTTTCAGGCCCCTAGGGATTGTATGGGGGAGGAGGAGGGAGTTAAAGGGAGAGCCTCTTTCTTCTCTTTCAGCGACCGTGTTTGCCGAGAGACTCCGTGCGTGGCCACTTGGTTGCCTCTCCCTACCACCGCGAGGGGTTGAAAAACGGACGAGTACCAGCCGCCACCCCGTTAATTTCTCGGCCGCTTCGTTAATAAGCGCGCTCGTCGACCGAACGGCCTTCGCTCCTTTTAATTAAACGGGTGACTGAACGCGCGACGACGGATCACCCATATTCCGCGGGATAGTGATCATCGTGAATCGACGAGTTTGACTATGAGTCTCTGAGCCGTTACCTCGAGTTACCCCCGAGCCGCTCTTAATTAAGGAAGAGCGAAGCCAAGCCAAGCCAAGCCAAGCCAAGCCAAGCCAAGCCAAGCCAAGCCAAATCACTACTCTCTCTCTCTCTCTCTCTCTCTCTCTCTCTCTCTCTTTGTTTGGATCCTCGCAACCGGCGGCTGCGGCCTCGGATATACTACGAGATTGTCCGGGGCGTGCGCGTTTTCTCCGATGCGCCGTCTTTTGAAGTTGCAGATACATAGCGCGTACATGCCGCATGAGGGGATATTGATTTCGGACGAGCCGAGCCCTTCTGTCCTGGTCTTCTTCGTGGAGCGTTCGTTTACTTGCTCTGCCCGTTGGCTCGATCGTTTCTCTCGTTATCCATTTGTTTATTTAAATTGGTTGGAGGGCGGCTAGATCTTTCCGAGCGTCTCCTTCAACATCGCTAATGACTATCAATGAAAATTCCCGATGGCGGACGGGAGATGTGGCTCGTTCGCATAACAATGGCTTTCGCTATTCGCTACCGGGAATGATCGCTTTTAATTATTGTTGACGAGATGTCGGTCTTAGAAACGACAAATTAAAATAATAAGAAAGAAAGAGAGAAGAAAACAGAAATAACAACAATGAAGTTCTGGTTAGCGGGGGGGGGATGGCATCGGCTAAAACTCGGTTATTTTAATAGGAAACGACGCACGACAATAACGAAAACTTTAATTTTACGAGCATACTAAAATGACAATGTTATAACAAGATTATCATTACGTTAATCGTTGCGTTTGTCGTCTTTTTCTTCATCCACGTAGTGGCCGATAGGCTACGACTATGAACATTAGAATCGTTTATTCCAGAAATTCAGCCGTAAGCAGACGTAAACTGTGCGCCCACTTCTTTACGCTAATTATTATATTATCGTAGAGAATAATTAGTAACAGACAAATAAATAATTATGCCCTATTATGTGTGAAAAGTATGTTTAAATAATCCCATCGTCTCTGCCGGCAATCGATGAAAATGATAATAGCCAAGGACACGTTCAATACATAGCATTGTGACAGAATACGTGCGCGCGCGCGTTTGTGTTATTTTAATTATAACGTCGATCGTGAAGAAAAATTTATTAAATGACATCACGGACGATAAATGTTATTGTTGAATTGAAATTCACTTGTTTCGTTACGAGGATAAATTAAAACTTTTAT